CCGCCTCGTCGGCGTCCTGGCGGCGTTGTGCGCCGCCCTCGCCCTCGCGTCCAGGAGATGATGGGTACAAATTACTGGGCAAGGGAGGCACCCCTGTAATAAATGGGTGTTTGTGCCGGCTCTTCAGAACAACCAAACTCTGCTAAATTAGCGGCGAGAACAATGCGGACACCTTCACTGGAAGTAAGACTCATTTTCGCACTTTTCTCACAATAAACGTTAGCAGTAAAAAGCAACAAACCACCCTCGATTATTGCTTCACCAATTAAACATTGGTGTAATCACTAGAAATCCCAGAGCGACGATTCTCGCCCTCTGGAGGGCGAGAATTTGCACCAAATTTTCTCGCCCTCTGGAGGGCGAGGTTTGATTACCTCGCTCGATTAGAGCAATAGATTAAGAAATGTCGCTCTATTTGGCTGATAATTGGAAAACCTCGCCCTTTTTGAGTGAGGATTTCTGAAGTTAATCTCTCTTGATTTAAGTGAGATCTAAGAATCATTCTCAATAAGAGCGAGGTTTCTAAATCATCACTTTAATTGAGCAAGGAGAAAAACTCTCGCTCTTTTTAGGTCAGAAATCTCACTCCAAGATTTGCAGTGATGCCTGCTTTGGTATCTTTGACTAATCCGTATCAGAACGTTGAACTAAAACTCAAGGTCAATAACGGCTACTAGATCTAGGACAACACCTCGCCCCCACTGTCTCGTCCCTGCACCAGGAAAACTAGCTCACGTCCTTCTTGGGGAACAGACAGACAGACACAGGGGCGATGGCTTAAGCGCGCTTATATAGCTTTTAACCAAAAAAGCGGGCTAAAAAGACTTTGTTCTAAGGATCAACTCTAAACCAACTCCTGGTTGTGGGTATCGGATTCTCGATTCCAGGCATACAATTTAGCCTACCAAACAGAACTGTTCCACACAACATAAAGTCTTTTATTTCGTGCGTTTTCCGTTGTTATGCGAAGAAAATCATTTGTCAATTTTGAAGACTTCTTCGAGTAGGCTTACACCAAGTCCTGCGCAATGCACAAAAGAATGAGTCGTTAGTGCTTGCACTGCACTCGGTAGTTCTAACTAGGGTGCGACCACTCACGTAATCCTGTGTGCAGATGAAAGAGTGTAATGCCCATGTAATCCGTGTGTAATCCATGTAATACTCAACCAAAGTTTGAAAAATTATCAGTAAATTTCATCCAATTATCAAAACCTAATGGTTTTTGCCCCAGAAATTCAACAAAATTTAATCCCTCGAGGTTCACGTGTAATCACGTAATCCTGCGTACATCGTAATCGAAGTGGTGGCCCCTCGAGTTCTATTCCACAAAATGGAACTTCCTCCTCACGGTCTTCCCTCACCGGTTCGCCTATCGAGGCTGGGGCTTCACTGAAAGGGAATGTCTAAAAGGTAAATGACAGAGATAGAGCGGCGTGGCGAGGCGGTATTTTTCTTTCGAAGAGTCTCGTCGTAATCACGGTTAGAATGATGAATAATTCTACACGGGCAGCAGCGCGGCTGGGGGGTGGTCGGGAGAAGGTTGGCTGGGGGGGCGGGGGAAGTATATTGAATATTTCCATGATCTCGCAGCCGCGCGGTGAGCCGCTGGGAGGGCGCGCGGGACGGAACGGTAGGCGCTTGGACGTGGGGACATCAGGGCGGCGGCGCTCCGCACGCAGTAATTGGCTTCGTTAGCAAAACCCGATATGGATCCGATACGCGGTCGCGGGCCCCGCCCCGCCCCGCTCCGCCCCGCCCCGCTCAGTTGCGGTCGGTTGTGTGATTTGTAAAAGCCTCGCGCGTCACGTCCAGTTTTTTCTCCCTGCCGTATGACATTCCCCCTCCAGCCTGGCGGCCGCCCCCGCGCGCGCGGAAGAGGACCAGACCAACGCGGCGGTCCAAATAATGTTGTATATTATTTTCGCAAACGAAATACGAGACGTTGGCGCGACAACAGAGCGATCCGCGCGCCACGATTCCTGTGACGCTACCTGTCATGCGGCCGTGGTGTGGGTCAGGACCCAGACGGGCTCTGTGGGGAGAGCGACAGATAGAGAGCAGGGCAAAAAAGAAAGGGGGGACAAAAAGAGGGCAGGCAGGCCGGGGCGGCGGAGCTAAGTGAAAGCCGTTCACAATCGCGAGGTGGGGCCGCTCATGGGCCGGCTCCTGCCAATCACCGCTCATGACAGGGGCGCAGTGAGGCCGGCGCGGGGTCTTCATGACCAGCGGACGGTGTATTATTTGTGCGCCCCGGGCCGCGTGCGCGCGGTGGCGGCACCATTCCATTGAAAGCCAACGTCATGCGGCTCCTTGACCGGGTTTGCATGCATGTGCGCGGCGCGGGCTGGGCCGGGCCGGGGCCGGGCCGGACCGCGCGGGGGCGAGAAATTACATCATTTCCAAAGAAATGTTTGGTGCGAGTCCTGTGCTGCTGTGCACCATGCACCGCGCGCGCCTATCGTTAAAGGCCCGTTACGCGTTAACACCTTTTGGTGGAAAGTTATTTTGGCACAAACTAGAAACAATTCCTCTCTGCAGTGTTGAAACCTTACGAAGAAAAATGTCGAAGCCTTCGTAGGTACGGAAGCACTTGGAAGCTTCGTAGATAGCAAATCGTTCGTAGGTACGAAGGATTTGGCATTTTGCTTCGTTCGGTTTGAACTGTGCGTGAGGAATATCATTGTAAATCGTTATAATTTGCTACATTTGTTGTTATTTTATACTTACAAATTATGAAGTAAATTTGGAAAAGCCCATTCTTACTTTCCGATCAATTCCAATTCGAAACGAGGTGCTTCTAAATGATAATTTTAAATTATTTAATAGTACGCCATACAAAGCATTTGAAAGTTTCAAAACTACTTTTTTAAAATCTTCTTGGATTGTTTGTTGCGCGTTATTTTACGTTCTAATTTGTCACCCTTTCACAACAAAAATAAAATAAAATAGATCACGTCCACCGTGCGTCTTTTGGGAGAAAAAAAATCATCAATCTGTCCCACCCCTTTGGGTCTCACTTCTTTGGTTCGGGTGTGTTTTGGTTCGCGAGCAAAAGTAGGTCGTTTCTTTGAAACAACAACAAGTAGTGCGAGACCAATTTCCACGCGGTGCTTCGCGCGCGCGCGCGGTGTCTTGAGGGGGAAGGGAGGAGCTTTGACGCGCCTGACGCGCTGCTGCTTGCGTCCCATCATCCTGACTGCCTTGACAGAAGGGAAAGTAGACGGAGATGCCCCTCCCCCTTCCTTCTCCTCCTCCTCCTCCCCTCTGCTCCGCTTTCCCTCGCTTCCGCCTGCCGTCCAAAGCTGCGGCCCGCTACCAGGCGGCGCCCAGGAGGCCGCGCGGGCCCAGGGGCGGATAAGGCCAGCTTAGGACCGGCCGACTGTGAAAGAGGCTGCCGAGGTCTGTTCTCTGAGGGTGACGCGCTGCCGGCGCCGGGCAGCATTTCGTTTGAGTAAACCGAGCGCGGCACACGGAGGGAAAGGAGGAGGAGGAGGAGGAAGGGGTTCCGCCGCGGGATTCAACTTACGCGGAAGCGTCGCGTCTCCCGTCAATGCTGCGCAAATGCTCGACAGCACGGCGGCGTGCGCGTGTGTGTGCGTGTGTCTATTCGTGACCCGCGCAACACAAGACGTCCGTCCGCCCCGCGCATCTACGTCCGCCCCCCACAGACGTGGAGGCGGGCGTCGGGCGGCCCGGCGCGGGTGGCTGCCT